CAGTGTTACTGGCCCTCATATGTGGGATCCGAACCGGGGCCCTCTGGCGTCCCAAGCCAGTTCTTAACCATCGCGCCACTCGGCCGGCCCTGTAGTGCCTTTTCATATGTGGTACCATTTAAATGTTTTCTAGGCAAGAGGAGCGTCCTGAGGCATGATGCTATATATATATATAGATATAGATATAGATATAGATATAGATATAGATAGATAGATATCTATCTATCTATCTATCTATATATATATATATATCACCATTTCTTTTTTAACTAAAGTCCATAGTTTATTCAGGTCTACTTAGTTTTTACCTAGTGTCTTTCTATTCCAGGACCCCATTTAAGTTACTACATTTACATTTACTTGTCATGTTTCCTTAGGTTCCTCTTGGCTTTGACAGTTTCTCAAACTTTCCTTGTTTTCGATGATCTTGACAATTTTGAGGAGTACTAGTCAAGAATTTTGTAGGATGTCCCAGTATTGGAACTTGTCTGATGTTTTTCTCATGATTAGACTGGGGTTATGGGTTTTTGAGGGGAAGACCATAAAATTAAGGTGCCATTTTCATCACATCATATCAAGGGTATGTACTATGGGCATGACTTATCATTGTTGATAGCACCTTTATTTTAATTTGTTGACTTAAGGAGGTCACAACGCTCTCCAAAAATTGAGAAATCTAATAAGGACGAAATTCCACACTACGATTCAAGCTTCTAAATAAGTTTTAAAATATTCTTGCTTTTCTTGTGTGGATCATTAAAATAAACCCTTATTCTGCAGCTATGAACCCACACATTTCCTCTTCAGGGTCACAGTTGATGTGTGTTATATACCATATTTTCTCTGTATGACCTTCCTTCATGTTCAAATTAATGTCTTTTTCAGAGTATGTTCATCTATCCCTCTTGTTAGTTACCTACTCACCTTTTTTTACATTTAACATACTAGAATGAGCCTTTCTCTTGGGACTAAAGATGTCTTCTGTAACCCATTACCTATGTTTTGTTGAACTCTTGAATTTAATATCAAATGGGGGCTTTTTATGGAGTAATGAAGTATTTTCCTTTCTTGCCAGGTTTTGTGGCACTTGGACATCTTCCGCCGTAGCTTCAGGCAGCTCACAACTCACAAATGTATGGGAGATTCCTGCATCTTTTGTGCTCTCAAGGTAAGCACTTCAACCTGGTTTCTTTTCACTGCTATTAGGTTGCCATATGATCAATACTGAGGAGGTTTTGATTAATCAAGGTGATGCTAAAGAACTTGTTAATGAATTAATCTGCCGGTGGTTTAGTGCAATGAATGAATATGATTAGTTTTTCTTGCTTCTAAGAATTACTCCTTGGCTTGAGTAGTCAGTCGTCTTTCTGAACCTTTTTGCCCAAATGTGCTTGTTAATTAGACTTTGAGTATTTACCTGAAAAGCTAATTCTAAATTTTCATTTTGAAAGCATAAACAACCCAAGTGTTCTGAATGGAATTAACTATTGCCTGTTAAAGCTAAATTTAGCTATAAATTCTTCTTCTTAAGAAAAGCCAGTATTAAAATTTTCCCATTTTCCCATTTCCTAATGTTTCGCGTTACCACATTTAATAGATTCTTTATACCAGTTCCCTGCCCCATCGTCTGACTCCAAGTTTTTCATTTCTGAATAAATGAAACTGAGGGTTCATTTAGAAACAAAGAAAATAGCCTAAAATGAAAGAAAGTCCTGACTCAGAGATTTTAGGTATGCTGCTAAAGAGGAAGAACTAGGATGTATAGAGAGCTCACTCTCCATTACTTTATCTCTTTTCCAACATGTAGCTTCTCTGTGTTTTCTTGGTCCAGATATACAGTGGATTATTTGTGGTTGGATGGTTGGCTTGAGTTCTGCGTAAGCTTCCAGAGTCATTTTTCAGTCTCATGAAGTCTGAATTCTTGTTTTGTCACATGGGTGCTTGAGTGTGATGATGATATGTTTAGTTGCTTTTACATCTTATAGAATACAAATTGAGACCAAAAAATACGGGAGAATTTTCCAGTAATATTGGTTATTTGCAACAACTGACTCAAAACCAGTTTTGGTTTTTTTTTTAAAGATTTTTATTGGGGAGTTGGGGGAGGGGAAAGCGCTGGGGAATTGGGGGAAGGGGAACAGACAAGTTGCTGTCCTTTTGTTCTTCAGTCTAGTTGTGGAGGATGTTGCTTCACTGGTCCAAAGTTGGCACCGTCATTGTGCTCTTCCCGGGCGAGGCAGATCAGTTGCTGGCTTCTGGACGGCCGCTCATGGCGGCTGCTGGCCGCTTATGCTGGCTGCTGGCTACACACGGTAGCCCATGGTAATCCACTGCCACAGGGGCCGCAGCCTACGCCGTTGCTGCGGACTCATGGCAGCCCAGCTCCAGGTTGAGCTGTTGTTCAGCATCTTAGCTGTAGAGGGCAGTGTCACTGGCCCTAATATGTGGGATCCGAACCAGGGCCCTCTGGCGTCCCAAACCAGTTCTTAACCATCATGCCACTCGGCCGGCCCCAAAACTAGTTTTTGACCATCATGAATTTTAAGTTTTTTTAAAATAATTTTTTATTTTTTAATTACAGTTGACATACAATATTATATTAGTTTCAAGTGTACAACATAGTGATTAGACATTTATATAACTTAGGAAATGATCACCCCAATAAACCTAGTACCCGTCTGACATCATACATAGTTATTACAATATTATTGACCATATTCTTTATGCTGTACTTTCATTCCCCATGACAATTTTGGTTTTTGTTTTGTTTTGATATTTATAACCATATATTTTTAAATTTTGTGTTTTGCCTCCTATATACATTAAAAAAAGATTTTTATTAAAATATAGCTAACACACAACATTATAGTAGTTTCAGGTGTACAAAATATTCAATATTTATATACCTAAAGAAGTGATCACCATGATAAGTACAGCAACCCTCTGACACTTTACCACACCAACACAATATTATTGACTATATTCCCTATGCTGTACATTAATTACATCCCTGCTACTTATTTTATTTTATACCTAGAAATTTGAACCTCTTATTCCCCTGCACCTTCCCCCCCCCCTTTAAAAATGTTTCAATTACAGTTGACATTCAGTATTATTTTATATCAATTTCAGGTGTACAGCATAGTGGTTAGACATTTATATAATTTAAGAGGTGATCCACCTGACTAGTCTAGTACCCACCTGGCACTATACGTAGTTATTACCATATTATTGACTGACTATATATTGCCTATGTTTTACTTTACATCCCCGTGACTACTTTGTAACAACCAATTTGTACTTCTTAATTCCTCCCTCTTTTACATCCTCCCTCCCCCGAATCTGGCAACCATCAAAATATTCTCTGTATGTATGAGTTTATTTCTGTTTTGTTTGTTTATTTTGTTCTTTAAATTCCACATATAAGCGAAATCACATTGCATCTGTCTATCTCTGTCTGACATACTCCACTCAGCACAATACCCTCCAGGTCCACCAATGCCATTGCAAATGACAAGAATCCATTCCCTTCCTTGGCCGAACAATATTCCATTGTATATATGTACCACCTCCTGTTTATCCACTTATCCATCGATGGACACCCAGGTTGCCTCATATCTTGGCCATTGTTAACAATGGTGCAACGAACACATGGATGCACGTGTCCCCTTGAAGTAGTGTTTTGGGTTTCTTCGGATAAATACCCAGAAGTGGGACTATTGGGTCCTTTGTCTCTTGTTATAGCATTTGTTTTAAAGTCTAAATGTTGTCTGGTATTGCTACCGCAGCTTTTTTTTTTTTCCCCTTTCCATTTTCATGAAATATCTTTTTTCATTACTTTCAGTCTGTGTGTGTCTTTCGATCTGAAATGAGTCTCATGTAGGCAGCATATGTAACGGTTTTATTTTCTTATCCATTCTGCCACCCTATCTTTTGATTGAAGCATTATTCTATTTACATTGAAAGTAATTGTTGATAGATATGTAGTTATTGCCATGTTATTATTCATATTTTTTATTTTTTGTTTTTTATCTTAAAGAAGTCACTCTAAGATTTCTTGTAGCTCTGGTTTGGTGATGATGAACTCTTTTAGCTTTTTCTTGTCTGGGGAGCTCTTTATCGGTCTTTCAATTCTGATAGCTTTGCTTGGTAGAGTAATCTTGGTTGTAGATCCGTGCTTTTTATCACTTTGAATATTTCATGCCAGTCCCTCCTAGCCTACAAAATTTCTGTTGAGAAATTCGCTGACAATCTTATGGGAGCTCCCTTGTAGGTAACCAACTGCTTTTTTTTGCTGCTTTTAAGATTCTCTTTTTGTGTTTAACCTGTGACATTTTAATTTTGATGTGTCTTGGTGTGGGCCTCTTTGGTTGCATCTTGTGTGGGACTGTCTGCGCTTTCTGGGCATCCATATCTATTTCCTTCACCAGGTTAGGGAAGTTTTCCAATATTCTTTCTTCAAATGGGTTTTCAATTCCTTGCTCTCCCTCTTCTCCTTCTGGTACAACCCCTATGATGCGAATGTTGGTATTCTTGTTGTCCCAGAGGCCCCTCAAGCTGTCCCAGTTTTTTTGGATTCTTTTTTCTTTTTGCTGTTCTGTTTGGGTGTTTTTTGCTACCTTATCTTTAAAACTGCTGATTTAGTCCTCTGCTTTACCTTATCTACTGTTGATTCCTTCTAATGTGTTCTTCATTTCAGTTAATATAGTCTTTATTTCGGACTTTTTTTTTTAATGTTTAATCACCTTTTTTTTTTTTAAAGATTTATTTGGGAATTGGGGGGAAGGAATAGCATTGGGGAATCAGGGAAGGGAAACAGACAAGTTGCTGTCCTTTGGTTCTTCAGTCTGGTTGTGGAGGACGTCGCTTCACTGGCCCATGTTGGTATTATCATTGTGCTCTTCCTGGGTGAGGCAGTCGCTCGCTGGCCATTGGACGGCTGGTCACGGTGGCTCACAGCAGCTCACGAAAGCACATGCCAGCTGCCGGCCAGCCCCTACTGCAGCCTACGCCGTTGCTGGCAACTCATGGCAGCCCAGCTCCAGGTCGAGCTGTTGTTCACCATCTTAGCTGTAGAGGGCACAGCATCACTGGCCTTCATGTGGGATTTGAACCGGGGCCCTGCTGCTCAGAGCTGGCGTCCCAAGCCAACTCCTAACCAATGCACCACTCGGCTGGCCCTAATCTTCATTTTTATGTTTCCTATCTCTTTGAAGTTCTCCCTGAGGTCACTGAGCATCCTTATAACCAGTGTTTTGAACTCTGTGTCTGGTAGATTGCTTGACTCCGTTTTATTTTGTTCTTTTTCTGGAGCTTTGTTTTGTTCTTTTATTTGGGTCATGTTTCTTTGTCTCCTCATTTTGACTGCCTCTCTGTGTTTGTTTCTATGTATTAGGTAGGGCTGCTAAGTCTCCCAGTCTTAGTAAAGTGGCCTTATGTGGTAGATGTCCTGTGGGGCCCAGTGACACAGTCTCCCTGATCACCTGAGCTGGGTGCTCCAGATGTGTCCCTTATGAGGATTGTGTGTGCCTTCCTGTTGTAGTTGAGCCTTGGTTGCTGTTTGCACGTCATAGGAAGGATTGACCCTCGGGCTGATTGGTTGTGAGGTCTGTCCATGACGGTAGTGGAGAAACTGTTGTGCAGAAGCTGACCATAGCTGATGCCTGCCCAGTCTGCCCTTTGGATGTGTTGGCTGCAGCTGGGTGGTGCTCTGGCTTTGTCCGAAGCTGGCTACTGGGCATGCCAGCCCTGGAACCTCCTGGGAGGGGCTGCGCCACATGCCAAGTTCAGCCACAGTCTTTGCCTTTGCTCGGAGCCACCTGGGATGCACCACAAAGCAATCTGTGGATGGTAGCTACCGGCGCTGGGCTTTAGAGGTGCCTGGGAGAGGCCAAGTAGGGAACCGAGGCCAGCTGCCACTGGTGCCAGGCTTGGGGCTTCTCAGTACAAGGTACAGGATACTCTGAGGCCAAATTCTGCTTGTTTGGGTTTTGTGAACCTTTAAAAGATTTTAGGAAAGTCCGTGGCATGAGCCAAGACAGGCCGTTTATTTGGAAAAGCTACTTGAAGTGGTTTGGGTGGGAGGTTTCTCAGGGAATCACCAGGGTAAGGCAAAGAGCATTAGCCAGGTTGATCAAGACTCAGATATGGCCGCTGCCTGCCTCTGCA